AAGTAAATAGAGAAAAATAAGCAGAATCTACACTTTTTGTGTTTAAGTCAGATTTTAGTTTGGATTTCCTGAAAGAGACACAGATCCTGCAAGTGCAGCTCAACGTGATTCAGTGTATATGAAGAGGCAGCCACATGGGTTTAACTGAGAGAGTAGCTTTTAGCTTTTCCTTTTTCCTTAAGTATTAAGCCAAGGTTAAAGAAGGAAGACATTTCATTTGTACCTAAGCCCACCTATCACTACCCACATTTCCAAGGAGCTACATATTACTTACCCGCTCAGTAAAGGCATTCCAAATCAATGCATTTGCTCATGATACCTAACCCAAACAGCACAAATGCTTCAAGGAAAACAAATGTTCTCTTACTATTTTTCTTCAATTTTTAATTTATTTTTTTTCTTACTGTCTTCTCAGGAGCCAGAACCAATCCCCTCAGTCCTTTCTTTTTACTCTTTGCTGGACGACAATTCTTCAGTTGAAATGTATCATGTACTTATTTCAGGATAACCATGAGACCAAGAAAAACATTTCCTTGAAGCTTCTGCTTTTTTCTTGAAGTGAAAACTGTAAAATTCTTTACTAATGTGTTCCCATAATCAAAAGTAATATTGGAAAACAGTATGTTTCTCTGCAACCAAATATCTTCACTTGTGCATAATTAACCAAATGGGCACAACGAAGCAACTGTTTGGAACAGCACAGCTCCTTAATCTATAAAACAATAAGCAATTTTTGAATTGCTTTGAATTCCTTCAGATTATGGATTTACTATGTTGAACATAAGGGTCCCTTTAATTTTTAGGAAATGCATGAAAGCTTTCTGCTGTTTCTCTTTTGATAAAAATGATGAAGTATCAAATCACACACACTCCTGGAAGTACCTGTTGTTAGCATTACTGTTTCTGTCCCCAGCAATATGCCTGAAAAAAACATCTGCAAGCTGAAAAGCCTAGTTCAGAAAAATGAAACAAAGAAAAAAACCCCACAGTTTATAGTAACAGCTGATCCTAGCTGTAAAGGAGCAGATGGGACTCATCCATATGCTATCACAAAGTGGGAGACCACATCTAAGCTATCAGGAAAGTATCAGATGTTCTAACAAGACATAAAATATTGTATTTTTAAAGGCAATTTTATGCTCAAGAAAGTTACAGCAGTATTCCTGATGTTATTTACTATTTTTAGATGGGATAATTCCAAGTACCGATAGCTCAATGAATGTAAACTGAATTCATCCTAGATGAAGATCTGTATCTGCAGAATCATAGCAAACCATGTGGGATTTACTCTGAAGAATGCTGAAATGCTCTAAATAGCTACAGAAGGAATTAAATAGGATACTAAGGGTTAGTAATACCATGACAATAGTATATAAAAACATTAGAAATCTGCAACTTAGTAATAATGAGCATGCAATCAGTTTTCTTGGGGAAAAACCCTTTTACTGACCAGAAAAGTGGGGCAGTTATTCCTAAACTTCAGCCTTGTCTTGTTAAACTACCAGACTGTTGCAAAAGAACACTAGATATTGAAGTGTGAAATTTTTCTGCTAAACGGGTGTCATAAAATATCACTGAGAAGAAAGCAATAAGAAATAGACATTCAGTCTGGAAAAATCTGAGGCAATAAGGTAAAAGTCTTCAAGATCACAAGAAACTTGAAGAGGGAGGAAGGAGATCAATTGTTCTACTTCTTCCAGTGCAAGACCTAAAGGGACGAAAGCAAAGCAAAGGATGTCTTCATGTACAAGAGAGGTGGTTGACATGTAGATAAAGTCTTCAAGATCACAAGAAACTTGAAGAGGGAGGAAGGAGATCAATTGTTCTACTTCTTCCAGTGCAAGACCTAAAGGGACGAAAGCAAAGCAAAGGATGTCTTCATGTACATGAGAGGTGGTTGACATGTAGATTTCTTTGCTAAAGGATGATAAAATTTTGCACAGTTTCAGACAGGGAATGAATATGTTCATGGAAGACTGTGAAAATCTTGGAAACTATGTCTCAGAAAGACCCTAAGCTGAAAAAAAAAAAAAGTGTAGTCGTGCTAGAAAAGCATCTCGCCTGCTTGCCCTGTTCATACTTTTTTCTAGATACTCTCTAACAGCGACTGTATTGGAGATGTGTTAAAAAACGTATTCTTTGCTACTTACTTCCTCTCCGTAAAACTCTAATATTAGTAGGAAATGAAAGATAAGGTTAATTTTCAGCAGTTACTTTCCCATTTAAAGAAATCATGTTTCTGTGTACCATGACACTCCACAAAGATGATTAGGGGTCTGGAGCACCTCTCTTACGAGGACAGGCTGAGGGACTTTGGTCTTTTTAGTCTAGAGAAGATTGAGGGGGGATCTGATCAATGCTTATAAATGCTTAAAGGGAGGGTGTCAAGAAGATGGGACTGATCTTTTTTCAGTGGTTCCCAGGGATAGGATAAGAGGAAATGGGCACAAACTTGAACATAAGAAGTTCCAGCTAAACATGAGAAAGAACTTCTTTACTTTGAGGGTGGCAGAGCCCTGGAACAGGCTTCCCAGGGAAGTGGTGGAGTCTCCGTCTCTGGAGACATTCAAAACCCGCCTGGACATGTTCCTGTGCAACCTGCTCTGGATGGAGCTGCTCTGGACTAGATGATCTCCAGGGGTCCCTTCCAACCCCATATCATTCTGTGATTCCATGAAAAGAATTCCTGTAGAAAGTAAGTAAATAATATCGAACTATAGCTGTTTGTCTTGCATGTATCTGGAGACACTGCTCCAAAGAGAGTGCAAAGTACAGTAGAAAATCCTGAGTAGCATTGGTAAAAGGAAAGAAGCTAAGAGAAGAAAACCAGAATCCATTCTGAAGAATGGTGAGAGGAAGGTGAAATACAGAGGGTTAATCTTAATATACTGAAAATACAACATGTAAGAACATATTGATCTGCAAGTTATAAAAATCAGTGAAACATGTCTGTAATATGGGAAAAAATTGCAATTTGATTCAACTGATTTTTTAGAAAAAACAAAGGTATATGTTGCAAGCAGCTGCACTTACTTAAATTGTTTGAAGTTGTCAAGATGTTTCAAGTCAACATTTGACTTTCCTTAGGAATTCAAAATTCAAGAGCAGTTCTATTCCACAGAAGTCTTCTTTAAAAAAAAATAATCTCAGTCTAAGAAACATGTCTGCAACACTAGGGACTTTGGTGAACCTGAGATTTGTCCTTACAGAAGGACAAAGGGATTGCAAGACTGTTTGCACTATTTGCCTTGCAAGAAGAGCTGGAGGTGAGGAAAGAGAACAGTCTTCACAGGCCACCTACATTATGTGCATTGATGACCCTAGTCAAGCTATTTCACTCCATCCTTCTTCCAGTCAGTGAAGAAATAAGCACAGAGATTAGTGACAAACTGTTTTCCCAAAAGCAAGGGGAAAAGAAATATTTTGATCTCTCCATCTTCCTTTAAAACAGCATAATTTTTCGTCAGCTTTTCCAGAAGAGGATCCACAGCATTACAGCAATGTTTCATTAGAGTCACATGAGACATCAGCAACTCTTTCTTTCCCCAAATAAACCACAATCAATTAATTAGATCACTTCAGTGGTGAAGATGTATAAACAGCTGATTAATGTTTAATGTCAAACTCTTTATAAAGAAAAAGAGGCAATAAACGGTGCACGAAAAAAACGGAGAACTCAAGGGAACAGAAGTCTTACTTTCAGGTTTACAGCAGAACACCTGTGAAAAATCTCCTAAAACGCAGCTGATTTTTGTAGAGAACAGTTTGTGAGAGAATTTTTGAAAATTTTAACACTGTTTTGACATCTTATTCTGTACGTGAATTGAATCTGGATTAAATTCCTCTTAATCTATCTGCAAATAATTTAGGTTAACATTTCATTATCTAATAACTGCAGGATCCGATTCTGATCAAGCCTCTGAAGGCTAGAGCAACACTGTTTAGAAAAATACTACACTCAGGCAAGTATTTGCATATTATGCTTATCTACTAAAACGCGTTTTTCAAAGATATGATGCAATTAGAATCACAGGATAAACTAGGTTGGAAGGGACTTCTGGAGTTCAGCCTCGGGTCAAAGCAGGGCCAGTTGTTCATGAACTTGCCCAGCTGAATTTTGAGTAGCTTCAAGGATGGACATTTCACGGCCTCTTTGAGCAACATCTTCCAGTGCTTAACCAGCCTTGGTGTAATCTTTTTTCTCTTCTATCCAGACAGAACTGCCCTTGCTGAGACTGCTCTGGCCCTTTCATTCTACACTTCTGAGAAAGGTCTGGCTTTATTATTTTTTCATACCTTAAACATTCTTTGTTAAAGAAAATGAAATACAAAAATTACAACCAGTGAATACTGGATTGTGTACAAAGTTGTATCCAGCTCCATATAATCAAAACTGGGCTGGGAACATAGGTCTGATAAACTCATTGCAACCTACAAAAACATTGGATTTGAAATGCATGCAATCAGTAGAGAATGACAAGCAGCTCCACCATTGGGACATCCACCTTTTCCATCATCTTCCTGAAGAAAGTATGTGTAAACCCTCTTGCAAAACACTTCTCTATCTTTGGAAAGGGAGAGAAGAAAGAAACCAGACACAACTGTCCCCATCCTCCAGTGTCACATTTGCCCAGCATTAAACTGCTAACATAAGCATCGATAAATAAAACACTCAGCTTCCAGTCTGAGAGGATTTTTATAGATTTACAAAATCATAGCGGTAGCACAATAACAGCCAACAGTTTAATTTGGTACTGATTGCAATTTAGGCACTAGTTCTCAATTATGCTGACAACTGAGTGTGAATGCATGTGTAGATGGGTTTTTATCAAGAATGTTGCTGTCGCTTTGTGTTGCCATCACCTTTCATAGTCTTAGACCCCTTGTGGTCTTCAGATAAGGGTCAAATGAAGTTTCCTACAAGCAGTTTATTAACATAGTGCCAGCACAAAAATACCTCTGCTTTGGCATACAAAAAATGTGAAAAAACATAGACATACCTGGTCCAATGCAGAATGACGCAATGATTGCCAGGATGCAAAATATACTGAGGTAAGGAAGCCAATGCACAGTTTTCTGGGTAGATAAAGAGACATTCATGTTAAGTATATTGTATGTATCACCAATATTTAAAACAAACAAAAAAAAAATCACAGAAAATAGATAGTGTTTTCCATTCTGTTTCAGAATTTAGTCTAGCATTTCTTTATTCAGACTTCTAAATGACAGGAACTTGAAATATGCTGAGTAATTTCTACTGAGTTTTCAGGACACTGTTTCTTAACCATGTATGTGAATGCTTAACAATAATACTAATAAACGGGAAAAAAACCATGGATTCCCATTCCTTTCTCTCTTCATCAGTGGATTTTTCCATTACCAAAGTGTAAATGCCATTTTTATTAGACTTTACTATTTTTGCAAAGTTAGTTAAGATACATATAACTGTAGTATCACCAAAACATCACCTTGAGTGGCACCGTAAAAATATACTTGCTAAAATAGGTAATTATTTACGTATTCAAGACCCCTATTTTCCAATGCTGCTTCTCTTTCAGTCTGTGTTACTCCTTTCATTATGTGGAAAACATGGTCTCCTGGGCATTAACATTAACCAAGAGACTTGAGATCTATCAAAATTACACATTTTGCGTTGCACACCTGAATGCAGATCCAAGGTCTCTAAAGGCACAGAGACAGAGAAGGTGCAAATATGGAGTAGATACAAGCCAAGCCAAGATCAAGCCATTTTGTACCCTGGTCCATTGTCCAAAGCACCATCTAATCTCTAATACTTAACACCTTGAGACACTTCTGAAAGGGTGTAAAGCCGAAAGGTTCTCAAACTTCAGAGGTTTAAAATAGCTGAAGGTCCTTACACATCAAACTAGGTTTTTTACAAGATTTGGAAGGGAATTTTTCACTCAGCATACAAAACTGGCAGCAACATCCCTCTTCTGGAGAACTGTCTTATAGTTGTCATGACAGGTATGTGGAGTAAAGCTTTATTGTGCTGTACTTACAGGTCAGTCAAATCAAACTTACTGGCATATTGCTAGTCAAACTGACTTACTGACTCTCCTCAACCAGGAAACAAGATTTGGAAGTCAGATTAATGGCATGACATGGGAATCAATGGCAGCAGAAAAACAGCTTGATAAAAGACCACCCAAAACCATACCATTGCAGACTGTTAGCTGTACTTCTCAAAAGCACTCAGGAACAGATAGAAACTGCATCATTATGAAAACAGAAGCTAAACAAGGAAAAATGTCTCAAGGCCAGTATTTAGAAGGGTTTAATAATACTCCTCTGACCATTTGAAATAACTGGGGAACTGACTGATGATAATATCTGAGAACTTAAATGCAGGTGTTCTGCAAAGGCTAAGTCTTTATATTTTCAGTAAAAATATCAGAAATATAACTTGAAAGAAACATCAAACATGGAAATCTTTTCACTACTGGAAAAAACATCTAAACTTAAGAATAAGGATGACAAAATATGAAAGAAATCTCAAAATGACTGCATTATAAACAAAAATAAAAACACAGCATATGGGTAAACTATTTACCTAACTATGGGTAAAACTGTCTTCTTATGCATGAATCTTGGAGTTAAGGAGACCGAGCATGACAAAGCCTCTATGGCTTTTTAATGCAAAAGCTGCTATGGCTAACCACAGTACTTTGAAATCAACAGATATTGTTTACAACAATAAGCAAAACACAGACATTTGAATCTTTATGTCAAGCTGATTAAAAGGACTGGCTTATGTAGGAATGCCGAGACAAATAGGTATTGAGCACCTGGTGTTTAAAATAGGCAAATGAAAGAATAAAAATAGGTAGTGCCCATAGTGTTACCTGTAAAGTCAGAGAGACGGTAAGCACTGCGAAGAAGACAATCATCAGCCCAAAACCCCCGATGAGAAGAGGCCTGCGTCCCAGCCGTTCAATAACTAAGCCCTGGAAAACAAAAAGTGGCATTTGACTTCCTTGATAAAGCACGGAAAGACTCAGACCATGTTATATGTTCTCCTAGTAAGTACAAACATCAAAAATAAAACCATGAGAGCTGATTTTATACTATGTTACGATGTGTTCATAATTGTGTTCACGATTATGTTTACACAATTTAACCTCTTTGAAAAAACAAACCAGCACAGCATCAGCATCCTTATTTGAAACTGCTGGAAAAAACTAGAAAACCATCAAAGCAGTACTTGGTATTAGTTTTACGCCTGGATTTCCTAGTACAGAACAAATATGACCATACAGATATGAAAAACATGTAACTGGTAAATTCAAGTTTCATGTTAGCATGGTGGATTTCAAAGTTACTAGTACATTTAACTTCTCGTGCCACTATTTAATAGTGAAATAAGCACTGTACATTAGCTATATAAAAATAATTAATGTGACGATAAGTAACTGAAGTTTGATTTATTTTTTCAGGCATAAATCATCACAGAATCATAGAATGGTTATAGCTAGAAGGGACTTTAAAAACCATCCAGTTCCAACTTCCCTGCCATGGGCAGGAACACCTCCCACTAGCCCAATCCAGTCTGCTCTTGAACACTTCCAGGGACTGGGGAGAGGGGAAATAAAAAAAATAATTGTACATTGAATAAATGGCTATTTCTTAATTTCAACATCTCTCTGAATTTAAGCTTAAAAAGTTTAACATTCAAGATTAAAAGTTTTTTAGCACAGATTTATTTTTTTAATTAATCTAAAATTTATTTTTAATTTCTTTTTCTGTCCTAACACAGAAAAAAACATTCAGTTGTGATGTAATTGTATTGTACTGCAATTACAATAGTTAGATAAAATAAATCTATCTGCCAGAAAACTTTGCTCAGACAA